GCAAGATGAAAGTATGAATGTCCTAATGTGTCCCTTAGACATGCTTTTCGATGTGGACGGTGTTAAATGATCTGCTGTATTGACATTTTTTTATTGAAAGTTATATTTTTCAGGGTACTGATACTGTAATATGTTTTAATGATACCCAGCCCTGCTCATTATATTACAAAACCCATTGTTGACATGACTTACTCCATCAGAGGAGGGTGCCTTTAGTTAGTTCCTCTCTTGAAAGCCAGAAGCAGACTTTTTAAAAGTTAAACGGCAAAACTAAACTCTATTTGGTATTTTGTTTGTCTTTTTTTGGCTTCAGCTCGCTCCGGCTAACTTCCTGTCTCTGATGTTTTATAACTAATAAAACCTCCTGGTTTCATCGGATATTAAAATGTTTGTTTTCAAACAAACCTTATCTGATGAACAGGTTTCTGTATTTGCCTGAAACAAACAGATATGAATGTAAAGGCTCTGATCCCGAATGACTGTGAAAAATTTAAAAAAATGTTTGCCCTTTGATGCAAAGATCCTTAGAAGTTGTTCAAATCTACAGTTTGTCAACACAAAGTGTCTTTATTCTCGACTAACTAAAAATGCACGTTGGAAAATGCCTCCTGTGTTCTGTTGATGTTGAATAAAGTTGTCCAGAATTAGATTTGGGGGGGGATTACATACAGTGATGGTAAGAAATGATTCAACACGCATTTAGCATTTCTTAACCAAGACACAGACAATGTATCTCGTTAACATTTATTTAAGAAATGAGTTCACTGGTATAAAAACAAAACAAAACAAAAACTATCGACATATTTCTTCCAAACCTGGGACCCCCGATCACACCATCGCTGCGCGTGTTTTGGGGGTTTACGGTTTAGAGATGACGCCGTCTGGATAGCGGCTCTTAAATCGGGCCACGACATCCGGGTCCAAGAGATGAATGCCATCGAGCTGGTTTCCCAGCGTGACCCTGGGAGTGGAGGAGAGGGAGGAGGGGCAATAAGGTCAACCAGCTCATGCAACGCATGCAGGGCATCTTCTTCGCGTCAAGGCGCGATTGTACGTTACCAGTTGGGCTGGACGTTGTGCGGCCGACCGAAGAGCTCGATCTTCCTGGTGCCGGGCGACAGTCTCTCTATCATGCCGTAGATCTCGTCGGGTTTGTGGCTGGTGGAGCGGACCTGCAGGATAAGGCGGTTCAAACGTGATGGAGCAACCTTTTGTCGCGCCGGCAGAAGTCATAACCACCAAGATTTACCTCGGCCACAATGACGTCGCAGTCCAAACCTCGGTTGAATCCCTGAGGGTTTCCCTTCACGCCCACCTGAAGGGAAAAAACAAACAAAGGTCTACGTTTCACGCATCAACGTGACACACAAACGTGCGCGGTAACACGCGGACAGACGTACCAGACAGTGCTCCTTCCCGTGGTTCAGCCAGTGGCCCGTCCTCCCCGTGCGGATGATTCTCTGCAGCTGGTTGGTTTTCACCCAAATGATCTCATCGGCTCGATCATAGCTGACGGACGACAAATGAATACGTAAAATAAAGGCAGAGAGTTCATGAGAAGGGAATTGGATGTTCTAATAAAGCGGTGGAGACTCACCCCCAAAGACTGAGACACTCTCTGCCCAGCTCCATGGCCCTGGAAGAAGAGTCGGCCAGACGAGGGTTTAAAACGGAAAAGACGACACAACTCTTTTTAAATATTTTAAATTTTAAATATATTACCACAATGTTTCCACTATTTATTGCAAAGTGGATCTTGCGGAAAGAACGTTATCATCAAATCATTTAACACAATGTTTCTGAACACACACAACGATAAACATCTCATGTGCGTTGCCGGGATACACAGCAGCATTGTTGCAGTTACCTGCCGGTGACCCACAGGAAGAGGAAGCCGTCGTCCTGCAGGATGGGGATGTTGAGCTTTCTCATCTCGTCGTCAGTGAGCGTACCGTAAGGCAGCTCCATGTGGATGTCCCACGGAGGGTCGGCCATCACCACGGCGAACTTGCCCAGGATGGACACGTCCAGGAAACGGATGTCGCAGCAGATCCACTGCAACGGGAGCAACGCAAACCTCGGGGTCAACTCCACGGCAGAAATGCCAACACCCGCGTCTCTCGTCTCGTCCCCTCTGGGCCTCACCTGGGAGGGGAACAGTTTGCCCACGTTGCTGTCGGCCTCGCCGGCACAGAGGCCGAGCTCGGTGGTCCCGCCCTGGGGCCCCAGCAGGGTCCCCTCGACCTCCGGAGGGCAGTCGATCTCGTAGTGGACGTATTTGCAGGTGTCCATGTGGAAGCAGGTGTTGAGGAAGGAGCAGTCGCCGAGGCTCTCGTCCGTGTGCTTGTTGATGATGCGACTGAAGGGGGTAACATGAACATATTTGTGCAAAGTCATCTTACGTTCTTCAGATGTGAATTTTAAAAGAAATAACACTAAACACTGTTTTCTTTAAGGATGAATCACTGGAACAAATCCGTTTTCTGATTAAAATTAAACAACAGAATAGTGCTTTTAAAATCGTTTATTATAGTGACCTCTTCAGGCCAATTTGGGTACTTTGTGTTTATAAGACATTAAGTAGTTGCTCTGGAGCAATGACAGGAAAACGCACAAAGCACTGCAGCTCACGGCGGGGGCCCTCCCCCTTAACACCCCCTGAGTATTGTTTAAACAATCAACTGCAACGAGAAGTAAGCCTTTATCTGTTCATTAACAATCTGTTGTGTGATCGTGCAGGGTGATATAATGCAGCGAAGGAGAGTTGCACCAGTGCACTGACCGGAAGTGTAACTTGGTGCACGGCTGTGGCGTGTCCCCGGAGCGCAGACACTCCTCTTTGGTCCCGTGGTCGCAGAACTCTTGGACTTGGGCTCGGCCGCGAGATCGGAACTTTAACACGATGGACTGCTCCTTGGCCGTGCTGGCATTGAGCAGCTCGAGAATCTCTCTGCTCACCTGGACATAAGCAACATTACACCACATCAGTCACCCCACCGTCAGATTACCCTCCTCCACTTCCATGGTGGTTGAAAACAGAACCGGTTACAATTAACACTGGGCGCTGCGAGAGACACGGACAGATTATTTGTCGCTCTCCTGAACCGTCCCACCTTCTTGCTCTGCTGCTCTTTAGTGGACTGCTGGTTAAGGAGACTCTCTATCTCCATGTCCAAATGGGACGACTGGCCTTTACCGCTCCTGCCCTTCTTGTCAGCCCCGCTCGCTGATGCCGAGCTCCCCGCCAGCTGCGTGGAGGCGGCCGGCGTCAGAGAGGTGAAGGAAGAGTGCGGAGGGGAAGCGGAGCTCTGGAGTGAGGGCGAGAGGCCCGGCGCTCTCTTGTGGTGGGTTTCATCTTCTGCTTTTCTCTTGACTCCGGTGCGCTGGGCCCCGGGCCCGATCATGGCCCAGAGCTTTGTGTGGTCCACCGCTACCACGATTGAGGGGGAGGAAGTAGTAGTAGAGGAAGTGGCGCAGGTGGGCTGCCGGACCTCGATGAGCTCCTGAGCAGAGAACTTAAGCAGCAGACTCTGGATGCTTCCATGACTGACGGCCGTTTCAGACTGTTAACGAAGAAATCATATATATCATGTTGCCCATGTAATACAGCCAAGCTCCACATTCATATGTGTGTACCAGCTGCCAAAGGCATTTCTGTGCTTAAAGACGAGGACTCACGCCGAGTTCCTTTGTGATGGCAATGGAGTCCGTTGGCAATGAGAGACTCAGATCGGAGAGATATCCCAGCAGCTTCTTCTCTAGTTCCGGGTCTGGTGGCTTTTCCGTCTCCCCCTGAGTGGGGAGGGGCGCTGTGGGAGCCGGGCTGTCACTCCTGGCCGTGGATCCCTCTGTGCTGCTTCCACCATCTGACCGAGAGGAGACAACAGACTTTAACACCCTCGTTTTGAAAAGGTAGCCCTGATCATTTATTACCTGACAATGCGAGATAAACTACATGAAAACATTGCATCACACCCTGCTATTTAATGTGGATGCAGGGCTTTGATCTTACGCTCTATCTGTATTTTTATAAGGAATACCTTCTGCAGCCAATGTGACAGCACATACACAATTATTTAATCTGATACTATTAATCAAACAGGATATTAACCAACAACATGTTTGACAGCTGGTTGTTGAGGATTTAATATTGATCTTATCAAGCAACAAGGAAAAAATAAATTGATTTGAGTTCCTCAAATGTAAGGACTTTATGCTATTTATTTGATTTATTTCATTGTTCAAGGTCAACGAAAATACCTTTTCATTTTAGACCTCTGGGAGAACAAAAGTCTTTGGATCATAAATCCAGAAATTAATCAAACATTTTTTTACAATGGGTTAATTGTTTGTCACCAAATGAGTATTTCCTGATTTTCTGGTTTTGAACTTCAAGTCCAACAAAACCATTTATTCTAAGATCTCGGCCTGAGGGAAATGATAATGAATCCATAATACAATCGTCATTTTAACTCACGATCGCCACAGCCCTTGTCCTACATATTGCAACCACCAAACAATAACAATAACATCTCATTTATCTTCCTTCCCGATGCATCTCCAACCCAATAAACACGTGATCGATCCGATACCGCCTCCGTCGATAACTCAACAACAAAAACAATGGTTTTGTCTTGCCGCCGCCCCGCTCCCCTCTGGCCGGACCGTACCGGAGGACAGCGTTGCCGGGTCTTTCCTCCGCCGCTGCAGGCGCTCCCGCAGGGAGTCCAGCTGCTTCTTGTGCGCCTGGATGCTGCTCCACGTGTCCGACATCGCCGGGATCAGCGCCGACGGCGGCCGCACTGGCGGGAAGCTGAACAAAAACGAAAATTTAAAAATTACAAAAAAAAAGGTCACCGTCCGCCTTGTTGATGGGAGAGAATGGTGCGCGGTCCGTGCCGAAATGGAGTCCGGCCTGCATCCTGTGCGAGAAAGGTTCCGGCTTGGTGGTGCTGTGTTAAGGAACGATTCTCTGAGGTCGTGTTATCTGGAACAAATGCACCAGTATACGTTAGCAACCGGTTCCGTAAGCTATATCTCAGAAAGGAGAATTTCACTTAATTTCGAATATATATTTATCGGACTCATTTTGGGCACGCACCAGACCACTTACACTTCCGGTGTTGGTCAAATTAAAAGCCCTTTCCCTTTACGCCGAAATTGATTTCACTCTCGGCATTTAAGTTTAAACAAATTCTTTTCTGTCATCACAGCACCATTCGAGCAGCATATGTAAGTAACGCTGGTCTCGTATCTCCGTGTGACGTTACTTCTCCTCCCGCCGGCGTTACGTTACCAGGCACTTTCCTCCGAGCAAAGATGGCGGAAGACGAGAAGAGTGCTGAGCCCCTGGACGACAAGAGCGAGCTGCAAATTCTGAAGGTATTTTCTCTCTTTTTCGGTCACACGTCGGCGCACCGTCCGCTTTCTCGTGTCGGGTGGACGTTTCGTGCGTGGTGCGTCTCCTCGTAACCGGCTCGGTGGAATTCTGCCCGAACGTTACTATAACAACTGGCCCATTAACAGACTGCATCGACTGTGCAGCCTTTATGTCTGAGACCTTGTCGGGTGCACGAGTGCCGCACGTCGTGTGGGCAGATTAAACTACAAACTTTTTACATATATCCGTGATTATGTATATGCATGTAGATGCAAGCTAAAGAGCTTGCATGGTCACAGACTGGGCCTGGTTTAAAACACCAACGATTACCGACAGTCACACTGTTCTCTTAAATTGGGATAAGGTTTCATACCAGAAGCAACGCTAATCGAAAATATTTACATACTGACGGAAGGTGCATTCGAGTTGGAACAAAGGTGCATTTGTAACAAAGAAATATCTTTCATATATTAAGATGAGTAGTAGTTTTTCATGGTGGTAGTTTTTTAGGGGCTCTGCGGCATTTTAGTGTCGCGCTTCCAGAAAGAAACAAAATCAGAATCAATTATGGGTCAACAGTGGATCCTACAATTCCCATCATGCAACTCGTTAGGTTCTTTCATGAGACGTCTGGTTGGTGTAACGCCAATTTCATAGAATGTATGGCAGGTTTTCGTAAAATAATGAAATTAAAATAATTTAAACAAATCAACAATTGAGGTTTAAAGAATGTGGATCTGCATCTTTATGGGACATCAGTCATCCACGTTTTCTCCCCAACTGAATATTGTCCTGTTAGAAATGTCCCTTAGATCTATTTTTAACAGCATCTCCCCTCCTCCTTGCCTCCCCCCACAGGAGCTCGTGGATGAGCTGTATAACTTCAGAGATTGCTACTTTGAGACTCACAGTGTGGAGGAAGCTGGCAGGAAACAAACGGACACCGCGCAGGAGATCCAGAAGACCCTGAAGAAGCTGGAGGAGAAAGAAGGTGAGTGCTTCCCCATTTTTTTCACACCACAGCGCTTCGGTTTTTAACTCTCAGGATGTGCTTGGCACTTACCGTATCTCCGCGGTTCACCATTTCCCGTAGATCAATTCAAACACAAAGCAGAGTTTCTGCTGCAGAAGGGAAGGTGTCTAAATGTAGCGCCGGACTTCAGTCCCGAGGCGGAGGAGTGCCTTTCCCGGTCGGTGAAGCTGGAGCCCGGCCTGGTCGAAGGTTGGAACACGTTGGGGGAGCAGTACTGGAAAAAAGGAGACCTGATCGGTGCCAGGAACTGCTTCACCGGAGCCCTGCAACAGGTACGCCGAGGACTCTTTTCCATTTTCTCCCTGTGGCTTTAGCCGAAACAAGGCACCCAGACTCGTATCTAACGAACATACAGGTCTTCTCACTCGCCCGTCCGTGTGCTTTCTATCAGAGCAAAAACAAGGTGTCTCTGCGCAACCTGTCCATGGTGCTGAGACAGTCTCCGGCGGCAGACAGCGACGCACACGCCAAGCAGGTGATGGAGAGTGTGGCCATGGCCCGAGAAGCCGTGCAGCTGGATGTCATGGACGGGACGACCTGGTGTGAGTGAAGTGTTCTGGGGGCAGCAGAGGATACGATTTGGAGAAAAGTAAAGGTTTCATTTTTTTTATGTTGTCGTACTTACAGACATCCTGGGAAACGCCTACGTGTGCCTGTTCTTCACCTGCGGACAGAAACCCCAACTCTCTCAACAAGCCCTGAGCGCCTACGCGCAATCCGTGAGTCACCGAGCGCGTTCGCGTCGATCAGCGCCGACGGCACGTTCGCTGTCATGTTTTACCCCCCCCCGCGTCCTCCATCCGTAGGAGAAAGTAGACCGAGCTGCCTCGTCTTACCCCGAGCTGCATTTCAACCGAGCCAAGCTGTTCCAGTACGAGGAGATGTACGGGAGTGCGCTGGCCGGCTACAGCCGAGCCGCGGCGCTCGACCCCGGCTGGGAGGAGCCTCTGGAGAGGGAGAAGCAGCTGCTTTTGTACCTGAAGAACATCACGGAACTCCTACAGAACAAGGTACCAAGAAAGAAATCCGAGCACTAGTTACCTACAGCCCGGGGTGATGTCTTTAAAAAGGTCTTATACATAAATATTAATATTTGAGAAGCTGGATCCAGGGAATTTTTCACTGTGTGAAATGCACTTAAATAAATGGTTTCCTGTTATTTTAGTCAGCTGGCTATGCGATTTCCTGTCTTATTGTTGAATAACATGAAACATTTTCTTGATTATTCAGGATCAGAAATAAATTAAATAGGTCAATTCGAATTGAGGTTAAACCCCTTTTGTTTTCATTTTTCCATTTTTTGTTTTTTTAAATGTTCTGTTACTTTATTTTAGAATATTTCACCTGTCAGTCAGCATATATTGATCACCACAAGGTGGCAGCAGAGCACAGCCATATCTCTCTTTCTCTTTCCATCTCTCCAGGGGAAGGTGAAGGCGCGTAGGTTACGGATGATGCTCTCTGACCTCAACACGTCGCGCTTGGGCCCCTGCTCCTCCCCTCACTTTCGATCCCCGACGGGCCGCGTTGGCAGCCTGGAGCCGCGCAGCATCTCCTCCCTCACGCACGGACACAACGTGGGGTTGGCCGCTGTGGGCAAGGTGGTGTTCAGCCTGGCCTCGGAGGGTCGCGTGGCCTTGTGAGTGCAGCTTATTTTTCTCAATGGCAGCTCACGGCGTCAACATGCGGTTTGCTGCAGTCTTGCTTTGGCTGTTCTGATGTTTTGAGTGATGCTGTCGAATCTTTTTTTTTTTTTCCTCCCTCCAGCACGTTTGGAATGGTGGACAGCGAGGAGTCGTACGTAGTGGTGATGGTGTACAACAGAGCGGAGAGCTGGGGCGTCCTGATCGGAGACACCGTAGTCATTCCTGAACCTCAGCTCAGACGAAACAGCATAACACACAAAGACGAGGTCGGTGTTGCCACGTGTCAGGTCACTGAGAGGCACAGAACAAAAAGGTCGTCCTAAATGTTTTTGACTTTCCCCGTTTCGTCTCTCCTGCAGTCGTTCGACTTCAGAAGTATCCGAGTGGACTCGCCCCTGCTGCTCCTGGTCAACGGCAAGATACCAAATGCCCAAAGTCAAATCGCTGCGTCCGTGAGCTACAAGCCGCAGAGCGAATGAGCCGAAGAAGAAGAAGCAGAAAGGACCAACTAGTTTTTCCTGGTTCAGAAAGACTTTGGCTCATTAAGGAAGTTCAAAGTTTCCCAAAGTCTGTGCCTGTTTTACGTGTTTTTTTTGTAAATAGAAGTTACCCTGTAACTTGTCTTTAGGTGGACATTTTGTTTTATATTTATAAATATTACTTTTTTTAATATTCTGTTGAATGCGCTGATTTTCTGGCCGGATTGTGATTAAAGTTCACCCTGAGCCAAAACCCCTCTTATCTTAAACCCATTATTTGTTTGGTGTCTTATGACAGCAGTTTTCAATCAGTGATCAGTGGGGGTCTCTTCCCCCCCAAAAAAGCTCATGTATACCGCATTGAGCAGAGATGTCATTGTGAGTCACATAGTTTTTAACAAAGCTGCATAAAAGACTCCCATTCCTGCAGTCTGCCTTAACCAGTGAGCCGCCTGCTTTGTTTGTTGTGCAGTGAGAATCCTTTCATTCCACAAAAGGTCTAGACCTCAATGAGTCTTCATTTTCCTTCTATCAATAACCAACCGTTTGAATTGTTCAGTTAAATGCATGATTGTTTTTTTTACGATTGTCCCCTTTACCCCAATCCTCCCGTAAGATGGTGATCTCACATGGAAATACTGGAATCCTCCGTATTACATTCATTTGACTAGAACCAGGTTAAGATTTTAATGTACTACTTACATAAACACATAGAGAACACTGTAAGGCACTTTGTATACAGAGTTGAAGTACTTCTTAAAACAAATGTAAAGCAGAGACCTGGACTTGAAAAATAAACATTAGCTCCCATGTCTGCTTTGGTTCTAAATGACAATAAATACTATAAAAATGCACTCGGGAGCACTAAGTTACTCCTCAAACGTTTGAACACTTGTTAACAAATAAAAGTAATAAAACGTTTCCACAGTCATCAGGGCACCTGTTGCCGTCTCAGTGCTTCTTCATGAAGGACCGGCCTCGCTCCCTGGCTGGGGAGCTGAACTGGAAGAAGTTCTTGGCTCCGTCGGGCTCCACGCAGGAGAAGAACCGGCTTTCCCCATCGTGGCCCGCTGAAAGGAACGGGGGGCTTCCGTGGGGAGTTTCCTGGCGAGGAACCCCCGGGTGACAGGCTGGGGGTGGACGGATGTCTCTCATTGTTACACCGAGTGAGATTTCCTTACGTAGATCAGCCCATTACTCCCACTGTTGGGTCCTTAATGGCCACTTCTTGACTAAACCCCTACAGCTGTCTTCTTTTGTGCTAAGTCCAATCCCTCCTCCAAGATCTACATTTTAAAACACTTTGAAAACATTGCTATATGAGAAAAGGACGACAGGTTTGCCCTGATTAGTCATAAACTACAATCTATACTCTTCTCCATTTGCAACACATCAATTCACCTTCTGCACAGAACGACTTGGACAACTTCGACGTAACTTAAAGGGAATGTTGTTCTCACCAGTGATGAAGCTGTGATGTGTCGCCTGATGCAGCGAGTCTCTCTCCCCCACATCCACCACCATGTTGCGCAGCCTCAGAGAGTCGTACAGCGCCTGCAGCTTCTGGTACTGCCGGTTTCTCTCCATCAGCTTCTCGGACACCTCGCTGTACTTCCTTTTATACTCCTCCATCACCTGAAGGAAATAGGATCTCGGAACATTTGATATATTTGACTCTCTTGAGTCATACGTATAATATATTGAGCACTGCGAGTTTGAAAATTGCGGCTTACTTTCTTCAGGGATGCGATCTCCCCCTTCATGCCGGTGAGCTCCACTTCTCTGCTCTGGTTCTGCTGGGTCAGCACCTTCTCCATCTGCTTCAGCTGTGCCTCGGCCCGTGACAGGCTGTACTCTTGATACATATGCTCCTGGTGGACCTGCGTGCAGAGAGACCGAAAAGCTTGATGTTTTCTAGGAAAGGAGTAGAGGATCAAACCGAGAGAAAAACATTTCTAAAGGCCCCGATCCGCGCTGCATTCACACGCACACAAGCAGAAAGGTATTGGACCTGATAGCTCCAGAAGGCCAGCGCACGGGCACTGATGTCCAGGACCACGTCCGGTCGCAGACCCGCCAGAATCATGGCTTTGTACTCCTCCGAGGGAGACAGCTCCGTCCTCACAATGTCCAGCTTGCCGGACAGCGCGGAGGAGCAGGCGGGGCAGATGGCCGGGGAGCGGCTGAACTCACCGGACCCGTGCTGGTCGCAGAAGACGTGCGAGCAGGCCGTGACCCAGGCGAAGCCGCTCAGCTTGGTCCGGCACTTCGGGAAGTTGCAGAGCAGCGTGTCGTCGCAGAAAGACATGGCCGCGACTGGCAGAAGTACAGGAAAAGGGAAGACACATCAACTGAAGGTTCACGAACATTTGTCAGTTTTAAAAAAAGACCGTAAACACATCATGATGAAGCACACAAAGAAATCCATTTGGGAGAAACAGGCTATTAAATTAGATGACGTTTTTGAGCAGTGTGGGTTGTTTCCATCACACTCCTGGAAATCAAATCCTGGGAGAAGCGAATGACATCAAAGTCCTATTTGGTGAAATTGGGGTTACAATTTTTTATGTTATTTGATGGATTGTCAGAGATTTCCTTGCTCATTGTTGTCCTTGCAGTAAAGCACTATTTGCCATTCGGTCCTATTTTAAGAAGAAAAAAAAATATTTTTTCACTAATCTTATTTAAAATTATGAATGAGAGACGTGGAAACACTAAATGCCACGAATCTTAAGTTGGCGGCATGAAGAAGGAACGTTGTGCTAACTTTACATAGCTTGGCTAACGTTAAGTTCTGTGGCTAACTAGCTTAATGCTACGTCAACTGCTATTAATATTAGCATTACCGGTTAGCGGTAAAGTGATGAACTCCGGTTAAACAGAACCGTTAAATACACTTCATATGTTGCTATAGACAAAACCTTTGGCGTTTAGTAATACAACAGATACCGTAACAGTATAATATGGGTCATTTGTCACTGATGTCGGGAGACACCAACCTACCGGTTAACGTTAACTGCTCACGGCGCAGGTAACGGCAGGTGACGCTGAATGAATGCTGTGATCTGATTGGCTGATTGCGTCTCAAACAGGAGAAACTCTGTAAACCCGTATTTACTTTCATTTTATCTTTAAATACTTAACTGGATACAAAATACATTATGTATATTAACATTTTTACTTGGAGTGCTTTTAGTGTGATATTGTTACCTCGGTGAAAGTCTGAAGATTTCTTCCACTTTTTTCTTTACAACTAAAGGCAACCTGCACTCTGACTTTCCATCACCACGTTCTCTTTATTTTACAGGATTCACTTGGACACTTTATGTCCAACACAATAAGCACATTAGCATGACAGTTATTTCCCCAAGTCAAATAATGCCCTATTTTCTTGCACAGCCTTAATGTGAGACACCTACTTAAATACCCCCCTTCTCCTCCACCACCTCCTCCTCTCTCCCACTTCTCTCTCTCTCTCTCTCTCTCTCTCTCTCTCTCTCTCTCTCTCTCTCTCTCTCTCTCTCTCTCTCTCTCTCTCTCTCTCTCTTATCCATTTCTCCACGTGGTACAGGAGTAAAGGCGGGGGGTGAAAGAGGGGCATTGTGCTGTGCAGCAGTGGATCCGGGGGTTCATAGAGAGAGAGGGGAGATGCTCACTCAACTGTGTCCAGCACGCCATTGTCAAAGATTCCCATCTATTCTCTGCCTTTTAAATAGAGCTCCAGTGTAAGATGCTTTTTTTTTTTTGGAGGGGGCAGGGGGGCAGGGGGCGGGGGGGGGGGGGTATTATACGCTTGGTGATAACACACAAAATGCATCAATGTGAAATGGCTGTGTGGCCCCACTTGCGCACAACTCGCTGCGCTGTTATTGATAATTGGCCATATGGAAATCAAAGGGGCAGAAACGTCACCCACCCATTCTTCATCTGGCACAATGCTGGCAAGACGGATTTTTGACTTTGTAAGTCAATTATGATTTGATTATTTATCCACTTCACTTCGGATAAATAGCCGCAGTGCACTTGGGGGTCCTCAACAGATGTCATCTGTTAACGCTCCGTTTGGACACAATGTTGCATCTTAATTTGAACCATAATTGCGGCATTCTGTCTTTAAGGCCTTTCCTCACCGAACTAACCGATTCTAGCGCCCGGTTCAATTCGTTTTTAAGCCATCCAACGGCTTTGACACCTAATTGTCATGTTTGACTGAAAGTTTATAGCTGCCGTGTGAGTGTGTAAAGAAAAATAAAGCTGGAGAGAAAGAGAGAACCGGGGAGGCTGTGTGTTACACGCCATTGAAATGCAAATATCACTGAAGAACAAGGAGTGGTTCTGTGTCTGTGAGTGTGTACGGCGGGTGTGTGTGTGTGTGTGTGTGTGTGTGTTTGTGCATACAGCGGGGCAGCAGTGGGAGAGGAGGGGCACAAATTGGACAAGTTTTTTGGGGGAGAAGGTACTTTAGGAAACAGCCACACACACACACACACACATCCAGAGCAGCTTCACATGACACGCTGCGGACCTGCGGATTTCCAACACCTACGTGCTATTGTGTTACTTTACCCCCGTCCATAAACCGCGTTCATTTTACATTTACAAGTGATCCTGCACTTTTTTCTTTTTTCCCCCCTCCCGGGGCTTGCATGGTGTGCGCGTATTTTGGATGCTCGGATGGTTTAGGGAGCGCTCCCGAGTGCGCAGAAACGTGCCGTGCCATTCAAGCGGCTGATGCCCCCCTCTCTGCCTGAGTCGCAGTGAATCATGTCACGCCGGAAGCAGAAGCGACCCCAGCATCTAGTTAACGCGGATCCGGGGTGCCCGAGCCTGCCATCTCACGGTGAGTAAACATCTTTTTAGGAGGTTTGCGTGCGTTTTTTGGTCTGTTTTTTTTTTTTTTTTCATGAAAAGAGTGTGCGACTTCTCGCAGCTCAACCGGGCCAATCGCGACGCTGCCGGACGGAATTCACTTCTCGGGGGAAATGAGGTTTAACCTGAAGCAAAAGTTTTAGAGTTTACACGTAACCTGCAGGAATTGTTTGCGCTGTTTGCTGTGCGGGTTTCCGTCGATTGCGGCCATTTTCACAAGTGTATTTACGCGTGGCCGCATTCCAACAAATGCACCTGATTTTAACAAACTACAAAGCTGGAGATAATAATTTGTCAACTAAAGAACCCCCCCGTCCCCCCTGCTTAGTCATTCACTGCAATGGGCCCCACTAAATGGAGGCCGTGGGCACTTTATCCGGGGCCAATAAACGTGTCCCTGTGAAAGGAATAGCGTAGGATTAACTAACATACATCTGTGGCCATTTTCATGTGCTGTTGGTCCTCTAGGAAACCAACAGGCTGCCCCGCGCTGACTGCTGGAGGTCTTTTGATTAGTATGACGCGCTCTCTTATTTGCTAACAATAAGGTGCACGAGCGGGGGGAAGGGAAGGCAGTGTTTTTGGTAAAGATTAATCTTCCACCCGTCTATTCTCCTCTTCTTTTGCTCGTCCGTGCCTTTTTCTCTCTTCCCCCATTTTCCACCTTCTCAATACCTCCCACCCCCTTCTTTCTCCCCCTTCTCACCCCATCAACCCTATTGACTGTATACTCCGACACAGTTGGGGGGGTGGAGGGGGACGGGGCTCAGATGGATGAGGAAAAAAAAAGATTCAGAGGGGATAGCGAGATTACTCTCACACTTGTTCTTTGTTGCAGTAAGTCACTTCTTCTAGTTCATTAGTTCATGCACCTAAGACTCTGCAGGTAAACTTCCACAAAATAAAGTTGAGCGTTTGAGCGTATTGGACGTGTTGTTTGAGATGTGCTTCCTGCGGCCTCAGGTCTGTGATGAAGACACACAGTGAAGGAATTTCACTGAGGTACAGTCTTTCATTCCATCACTATATCACTCCAGGAGGGAATAGTTAGTTTGTCTCTCCATTGTTGTTACCCTCCCCCCTTCTTTTTCTTTTACCCTTTCTCACTCTGTGCTCAAGATTCTGAAAGAATTTGACCCTTGAGCAGCAGAGGTCAGATTAGTTGACCAATCACAGTGTCTGGACAGTGCCCAGAACCCTTAGCGTGGCCTGACCCTTGACCTCCACTGTGACGTAAGGGGGGAAGGGTGAATAGGGAGATGAAAGACGCAACTGCTGTAGGGAGGGGGTGGGTTAAGAGGGGTTATGGGTTGTCCCGGTGATGCCCATTGTCCTCTAAAATGTGTTGCCATAGCAGCAAGGTGGTCTGTAAGCTTTTTTGTGAGTGCAAGATGTTTGAGGAGTTTTGCTTTGGGGAGCACAGATTGAGACAAGACATTACAAAGACTCACAGGCTGCAGTTTCTTCCACTTGTTTATTTGCTTGTTCAAGGCCATTTCCTAGCAGGCATTTCTTTTGAAGTCGTAACAGGATCTCTTGGTATGCGCACACAAATTTGCAAACTAAACTTGTAAACAACAATTGGAATCAATGCCATAAACAGACTAATTAAAGGAGGGCGTTCTGATGAATTTGCATACCTGAATGTCTAGCTTGATATCTGTGACTTGCATAATGACCACACAAGGAAACAAACACCTTGTGATGTTTAAAAACCTTTTTTTTTGTCAATCCTCAGATGATCATCTGGGCATGAAGTCACCATCCACATCTCTTGGCTCAGAAGTGACCTCGTCGGGTTCCTCCTCCTCATCCCCCACCTCTCTACAAGACTGCCAGCCGCCTTTGGCCCCTCGCCCATCCCCTGGTGGGCTCCACGCGCCCTCCTTACCCAGCGAGAGTTCGCCTCCTCCCCACTGGCCCAGCCACATCGCTCCCTTCACCACCTCTCTCCCGAACACCCACTCTTCCCTCTCCCCGGACTTTCCTCACCCCTCGCTGTCATCCCAGACTCACTCACCTCCTCCCCTGGGTCAAACCTCAGGTTCCCACAGCCTGCCCCACCAGGGAAACTCTCACTCCACTATGACCTCCCCACCGATGGGCAGCTCGGCCACCACCACCACTACCTCCTCGTCTTCCTCCTCCTCGTCTTCTCAGTATGTGCAGCCGCACCGCGACAGCTCCAGTCCAGGTCACCAGCAGACCTCCGGCTCTCCGGGGCAGCAGGGACAGATGCACGTGTCGCCGACCCTGGCGGTACTGCTGGAAGAGCTGAGGGTCTTGCAGCAGAGGCAGATCCACCAAATGCAGATCACGGAGGAGATCTGTAGGCACGTTCTAAGGCTCGGCGGCGCCTTCTTCGGCCAAGATAATAACACGCAGGCCCATGGCGCGGACAACGGCAGGAAGTCTACAGGAGCAGCGTCTTCCTCGCCAACACACCCCTCCACCGCCACGCCAGTAAGCGCGGCCTCGTTGCTTTTGACTGGCCTTCCGTCTTCCCTCTTTCCCCAGCCTTCTGTCTCCAAATCAGGTGCTTCACATGTCAATGGCAACAGGGCTCAATCCTCCACTACCTACTCTTCATTATCTTCATCAGCCATTTCATCCACTATTGGCTCCTCTGTTGCGTCCCTGCACCCGCTGTCCTTGTCGCTTGGGCCTACCGCACCGCTACCTCCACGAGAATCCTCAAACACCTTCTCCTTTCGGTCATAGCAATGGGATCAGTTTCCAGGCTCCTTCCCTTCCTGCCACGAGCCAATCCCAGGATCCCCAGGCCAGCTCCTCTCTGAGCTCCGCCTCCTCGGCAGGACGCGCTCAACACGTGTGCCGTTTTTGCGGGAAGGTGTTGAGCAGTGATTCGTCACTCCAGATCCATCTGAGGTCGCACACGGGTGAGAGGCCCTACCAGTGTCCGGTCTGCCTGAGTCGTTTTACAACCAGGGAGAACCTCAAAGCCCATTTCCTGCGACACAGAGAGCAGAATCCAGAGCTGTCGCTCTCCCTTCTTCCCCCGGCACTGTCCGATCAACCGCAAAGTGTTCCTGTACCTACCCAGAGGAGGAGAAAACGGCGAGCTGATGACGACGAGTCAGTCAATGGAATCAAAGGAAGCATTCCCGGGATGACCGAGAACATGGCTTTAGGGTTCCTCTCTGGTGCATCCGGCCGGCCCTCGCCCTCATCGCTACCTCTGCCGCCATCAGTGGACATGGCGTTGTTATCCACAGCCCATTCACTGCTGCAGCTGAACAGAGCCTCGGCCGTCGCTGCCGCCAACGCATCTAGCACTGGACTGCCTTCTTCCTCTTCGTCTTCGTCCTCCTCCATGGGCGGCCAGTTCAAAGGAGCCAAGCAGCAGCGTTTTGATGAAAACACGCCTCCTCACTCTGCGCTCCATACAACCTCCCCGTACTCCCAGCTGGCCCACCTCCCCAAGATTCTCTTCCCGGAAGGGACTTCCCCCCACCACCTTGCACTTCTGCGGCCTCCAGGCCACCCGTCCGCCTCACACCTCACTTCGCCTCATCAGCTGCCCTTCCCGTTTCCACCTTTCCCCAAACCGTTGACCTCCTCCCCCTCTTCGTCTTCTCCCACCACCTCTACCCAGACTTCGGACACCTCAAAGTTGCAGCGCCTCGTGCAGAAGCTTGAAAAGGGGGCCTCATCTTCCTTCGGCCCCTCACCAGCCTCCGCCGACGCACATGGAGACACACACGGCCACGACCTGTCCACCACCTCCAGTGCCTATCGCAGGGAAATGCTGGCTGCTCTCGGCCTGAGCCCGAGTGCAAGTGTCGCTGGACTGATGACCAGCCAGGGAGGCACCACAACGACCATAACCAACCCTTCTCTGCCAACCGCCCAGGCCGCTAACCAGTGCGGGGTGTGCCTGCGTGTCCTCAGCTGCCCCAGAGCGCTGCGTTTGCACCAAGCCACGCATCTGGGAGAGCGCCCGTTCCCGTGCAAGCTGTGTGGTCGTTCCTTCTCCACAAAGGGCAGCCTCAGAGCCCACCTGGCGACTCACCGGGCAAGACCGGCCAACTCCCGCGCCTTGAACTCCTGCCCGTTGTGCCCACGAAAGTTCACCAATGCCTTGGTTCTACAGCACCATATCCGCTTGCACCTGGGAGGGCAAATACCTCCTGACGAAGATATGCCTGCTGAGGACGCGGAAGAAACGGATAATGCTGTCTTCAATGAGTGTGAGAATAACTCCCCATCTAAAGCCCAGCAACTCCTTCCTCTGGCCTTAACGATGAGCTCCAAGTCTCCAATTGATGCTCTCATTTTAGGGTCCAATTCTAGGAAATTCACAGCTGCTGACGCCACTTCTGTGAAGACAGAGGAATCGGAGGGCTCCACACCCAGTGTTAGCCCACCCTTGACCCGTGATCCCCCCTCAATGGGAGCCGAGGACCCCCTGCGTCTGAGAAACAACACCTTGGCTGATTGTAGCCCTGCGAACAGCACCGTGCACTCTGAGGAGGAGACCCAGGCTGACCTGGGCAGCACAAGCCCTTTAAAAGCAACCGTGGCTAGTTTTCATTCAGCTGCGGTGAATGGAGACGAAGAGATGGATGATACGCCTCTATCCCTCTGCATATCAAAGCCTCGAGGAGAAGACGACGCGGTTCATGTGGGGGTCTTTACCGTTGAAGCCTGCTCCACGGACAAAGCCCCGACAAGTCCCGATCCCGTACCCCGAGCTGCGAATGCTTCACCTGCCCTCACCGCACCGGCCAGCCCCAAAGCAGAAGAGGCCAGTGGCAGCGTACCACGGGAGGCACAGGAGAGGGACGCTGCCCAAAGCAATGTCAAGAGGGAGACCACCACACCCGAGGACCCGGCGCCCGTTCCGGATCCGGTGCAGGGTGCGCCGAAGGAGGAGGAGGAGGATCATCGTGCGCAAGGAAAGCCTTCAGATGACCCCGAGCCCTCGGTCCCAGCGCCAGCCCAGCCTCCCCGCTCTGACAAACCCTACAGCTGCACCCAGTGTGGAAAGGCATACGCCAGTCGTAGCGGACTTAAGGTACGGGGGAAAGATATTGTGGACGTATCATGTCACAATGTTATTTGAAAAAATGATTTAATCTGTTCTTACTTGTTTCCCTCGTCATCAGGGCCACATGAAAAATCACCCTGGAGCGCTGACCAGTACCTCTTCCAAGGCTCAAACCAGCGACACAGACATTGCAGAGGATCGCAGCTCGCTCACAACCAATAAGAATCAGGTGGCGAAGGAAGAAGAGCAGGGGTTGGCTAAATCCCCCGAGAAAGGGGAACGCACAGATCCCCCACCGATCAGTGCGGCTTCTAGTGTGGTGGGGGGGCAGCCCATGGACACCACTGTGTAGAGTTAGTTTTGTTAAGCGGCTGCAGTCAGTCTTTATGAAGGGTACTGACAAGGGAATGTATTTCTTTTTTTTTTGAGAATCGTTTTCTAGAGATATTGATTGTTATTCATTTTTACTTTTTTTGTATTAGATCTAGTTTCTGCTGTAGTCCCATTTCAAGAGATTTGTGAAAGTAGTATTTTAGTTACCTATTTTTTTATTTCAAAGACCACAGTGAGGCCTTAACTTACACACTTCACAGAATTGTCACAATGAGAATGAATTGTTTGCGCCCTTTTTCTTTTTTTTGGTGATATCTATTTCAGCAAAGACTGTATAAGCTGATTTGAATGAGAGGGTCGGTCCAGCATTTTACAAGATTAACTCCATACCAAAACAGGCCGAAAATTATTAACTGGCAACGTTTGTAAATTGATGCTTCGGTTACATTTAATGCCTTCTTATTGTTACTTCTTTTCAGTTTTGTTGTTTTTTACTGCCATGCTGCTAAAAGCATGTTTCTGATGTGCTGAGTTGCACTGTGAGTCGCACCGTGTCGAAGCATCTTCTTCAGCGCGTTAGCGACGACGAAGACCACGATGACGATAATAATGATGGCGATGATTGTGTTTTGTGAACAGTCCTTGTACTTACAGCTGTGAAATTTACCTTATTCATACCGATGATTGTAAATGTTTTCTTTTCTTGTTGTCTGGAGTATCAACCCGACGACAGGGATGAGCCCTGTCCGTTATAACCCCGCCTCCTTTAGTTGTCTCCCCCTCCCTCCCTAACTGCTGCTCTCCTCTCAAAGCACTCGAGAGTTTTCTGCTCCTGCAGGTATTGTCTGAACTCACTGCATTCCTGCTTTGCCCAGTCTAGTATTTCTATCGTTTCTAAACCCCCTTTTTTTTTTTTGTAGCAATGAAAAAAAAATCTTCCCATCCCACCCATGTGATGTACAAAAGATAAATAAACCAACGGTGATGTGAAGAGGAGAACTTTGTTGCTTGTCTGTGGTTATTTATGTGAATTAATTTATCTGTTTAGGTATTCTGGTCGCATGACTCCTATTTTGTGTGGTTCCACCCCCCCATTGGTCAGTATGCTTGTTTGTTCCAGCTCTTGGTGTGTCTGGATCGGGGGTCCTTTGTCTGGGGCGCCGGGCTCACTGTCTACTAATTCTGCCTTTTTTGCCCCCAATGTCTTTTAATATGTTTCAGTTCCTCGCTTTGTGTGTGTGTGTGTGTGTGTGTGTGTGTGTGAGAGAAAAGGATAATCGGAGCCTGTATGTGTGATCAGGGGTGCAGCTGTAGAGGGAGGCCCCCCCGCCCTGCCTGTCCTTCCCCTTTCTCTGTCATACGCTCTTTCGTACTCACTCGCTTTAATTTTCTCTTTCATTTCTCTCCCTCACTCTCTCTGGTCACCCCTATACTGCCCCCTCCCCCCTCCTCCTCCTCCTCCCACCCCGTGTAATGAGCTGACACACAGGAAGCTCTAATCCTCACACAATGCCATCCTTCTCCCCCCCCCCCCCCCCCCCCCCCAAGGAAAAGGGAGTCGGGAAGGGGGGAATAGGGAAAAACCTGGACCAGGTGGCCCACAAAAGGGGGCCTTTTAAACCCTTAAGTTTTTTTTGTTTTATATTTTCCTACCAGGGCCTCTGAAACCATGAAAACCTGTAACCAAGGGAAAGGAAGGCCAGGGGCAGCGAGCGGGACAAAAGGAGTGAAAGGAGCCATGTGTGAGAAGTTTGTCCACATGCGTTCGTGGGCCGACAAGAGACGTGTCTCAATCCCAAAAAAAAGAAAGAAGTAATTTCAATAGTCTTCAGTATACGAAAGGAGCACGGAGGTGAATGCAAAGGTCCACAGGTGTGAACGCCATTGCTGATCACATCTGAGCGATTCGTCACCAGTCAATTCACGTGAATTAAGTCTCCGTGGACATTTTGTCCTTCTCAAGATGATTGACGTAATCATCTCCAGGAGGAAGTACAACAGAAAAGCCTCCGTTACAAGAGTCAACAACATTTGGAAGACAAAGAAGTGTCCTCATTTGGCTTTTTGTCATTTTAGAACAGCCTTTTTGTTGTGTGTCTAGTGAGTAACACAACTGTTGAGACAATAGGCGGGACAAACCAGTGAGGAGGCTTTTGCTGACAGAATAGTGCAGATATTCTTTCACACGCTGTACAAGTGGAAGCTAAACTTCCAACTACGTTGATAAAAAGTTTGTATTTGTACTTTTGAAACTGCGCTGTCATCAATTTAAAAGAACACTCAAAGTCACAGTGAAATGCACTAAACTGATTTTATGTCCTTCAGTGTTTCTTTGAATCCACCAGAGGGAGCTGAAGCCCAAAGGTCATCCATCAACAAGTCAATCACTTCATGCATACACACATAAACTCCTTTTTTGGTTTGCATATCTCACTGTTTTTCATCCTGCACAGAAATGATCGCAATATTATCTCTTGTTTTTTTGTCTAATGTTTAGTATAATCAAAACAACCTGACACCAACATGATAATGCAGAATAGCAGGTTTTAAACGTTACACCAATTTAAGATCACTTGTTTTAATGTCATTTTGTGTGCTGTATAATTGAGGGGTTCAAGGCTCTTTATGGCCCGTTTCTATTATCTAATAAAGGGGCATTTATTTGTTGGTTAGAGAGGCCAGTTGGATTTAAAGAGATCCTAATAAAGAATCACCACCACCACAGTGTAACAGCCTCTTTCAACTAAAAAATGTTACTTATTTTCTAATCGCATTCGAGTTCATCTTAATCTATAACAAAGTTAATCAACAAATTGAGTGGTCGACAAGTATGTTTCCTGTTGATTCTCGCAATCAGGAGGACGTTACTTCAAAACAGGCTCATTGTTACTTTCTCTCTAAACGCATTAGCTCGCCGTTGTGTTCATCCCCACATTAATCAAACGATGATTGTACCTGGTGGCTGCAGGTAATCTCATTAAAAACCTTTCATTCTAACGTCACAAGAAGAGTCCATTGCGCCCTCCCCTCTCCTCCCCTCTCCTCCCACGACTGGTTTCCTTGGAGGTACAGTGGGATAAAACCAGAAGTACATAAAACCAGAAGTAGCATCAGCTGAGAGACGCGCCGCGGAGGAAACCGATGCGTAAAGGCGCACGAAGGAGCGCAGAAGAGAGCGAGAAAAACAAGGAGAGGACGAGCTGCTGAGGAGAAGAGAACACCGTCAGGCTTTAACACCCAACACAGGTTTGACACCCACCAGGAGGAGAGAGAAACGCGTCTGGAGAAGGTGAGTCCCTCCACTAAGCGGACTGTTTTACCTGTGAGTGAATCTACGGGGCTTTTTGAGGTTATGAGCACCGATACGAGGTGAACACACTCTCATCTTAACTGTGATGTCAGCCCACGTTTGCCTCATCCGTTAAATCCTAGTGACAAAAGTTGCGTTTCAATTTAGCCTATAAAATTGTTATTTTAAGTTCTTTACGGGTTGCTGAAGTTACAGCATCTTTCAGACTTAAATAAAACGTGTGATAAGATAAAGGTTAGTTTTGTTGATCCCTGAAAAGAACAGGAGATGACTCATCCCCCCTTAAAAAGAATTCTGATTTAGAAAGTGACCTTGAGTAACTCAAGAAGGACTAACGTTATCAGCGGCTTTTGGACCTTGCACCGTCTTTCTGTGCGAGCCTCACCTCTCAGTGTCTGTGCTTTGATCACATGCAGGAAGCCTCAGTGTCCTGTCCTTCTCCACAGACACTCCTCTGGGAACCCACGTGCTGCCGGTCCGTTTGCTGCCTCAAGGTACCCGAACTTCTCAGTAGCTCATCTCCATATTTGGATTTGATTATAGACAGCGTTGAGTCTTGGTAAACACCTCAAAGCCACCATTTTAAATGCATGAACGTCTTTTTCCCCTTTAGTCACCGCGAAAAAAAACGGTGCTTCTTTTAAATGAAAGCACTTGAATTCAGCAGGATGCAAATTCATCTTCTCAAAGTAATCTGGGCCTTGATGCGGCACTCTCTTTTCTCATTCAAAGCCCCTCTGGCCGATCATTCAATTGAAAAGTTTGTAATACTGTTTGTGCTTCTGCATTTTGAGTCACAAGTACTTATTGAAAGCGGTCATGCAGAAAGGTGAATGAGCACGACGCTCCTCGTGTGTCTCGTCAACCTCCACACACGCCGAGGATGGTGAACTTTGGAAAGCACGTGACCGCCCACTCTGCTGACTCTCTCGATCCCAGCGTGTGTCTGTGTGCGTGTGTGAGTGTGTGTGTGTGAGTGTGTGTGTGTCGGCGGAGTGGTGGGCAGCTAGGAGTCCGAAACGTTCTGAGTCTGTAACTCTTCCCCGGCTAGTGTGGTTACTAATGAAGAGCCGGTGTTTTCAGGCATGTGGCGTGTTTGCTCCCCTATCTCTTCTCTCTGTCAATACACTCAACCTTAAAAGGCCATTTGCTGTGCGGCCTAATGGCGCTCCGATCCACAAAACTGCCCCCCAAACCCCACAGTGTCCAAACCAGTTTGGCGTGGGTTCTTTTTTTGCATGTTTGTTCCCACATTAGTAACCTTTGCATGTAAATATGTTTTTGTTTGACTACATTGGGACAACACGACTGCTTTCTGTACGTTGCCGTGGTAACTGCATCACTGATGTGACCCGTGTTCCTTCCGCAGATGGCAGGAGAGGATCACAGATAATTGGGGGGAATGTTTTAAGTCTTCTGTCTTACATCGAGGCTCAGAACCGTCACCTGTGACTGAACCCGCTCTCCCTTTTACAAAATCAAGCGACAAAGCACAGAAACACGAACAATGGCGTCCTACAGCCCCGCCGCGACACGGGAGGAGAGCAATGGCGCGAAGCCGAAGAGCCCGGACGAGTCCATGCAGCTGAAGAAGGAGATCTCCCTCCTGAACGGCGTCTGCCTGATCGTGGGGAACATGATCGGCTCGGGGATCTTCGTCTCGCCCAAGGGCGTCCTCATCCACAGCGCCTCTTACGGCCTCTCCCTGGTGGTGTGGACCGTCGGAGGGATCTTCTCCGTGTTCGGCGCCCTGTGCTACGCCGAGCTGGGGACCACCATCACCAAGTCCGGGGCCTCCTACGCGTACATCCTGGAGGCCTTCGGGGGTTTCATGGCCTTCATCCGCCTGTGGACGTCCCTGTTGATCATCGAGCCGACCAGCCAGGCCATCATAGCCATCACCTTCTCCAACTACATGGTGCAGCCCATCTTCCCCACCTGCATAGCTCCGTACTCGGCCAACAGGCTGCTGGCTGCTGCCTGCATATGTGAGTACACATCTGGGGTGCATCTGTGTGTGTGTGTGTGTGTGTGTGTTTGAGGCGACATGGAATGATAACGATGATGTTTCCCCATCTGAAAGAGAGCACGTGAGCTTTTCAGACTGGAGAAGTGAAAACGTGTGACAGCAGTGAGCAGTCAGCACGTCTGTGGCAGAGAGAGAACAGGAACTGTGCGAACCCGTTCGCCAATTACAACGACTCAGGGGAAAAGGCCATTTTACTCAATCCCAGATTGAGTAGAAACCTCAGCGTGATGTCCCGCACGGGAAGACCTGATTCACAACTTATTCTGTCGTTATGGGAACGGGAACAAACTGTTCTTAAAAGCTGAAGTAAAACCAGCACAGATTGCCGAGGTAACCAGAACACAATGTTTAACCGACAAAGAGCAAAGCTGAGAAACTGAATTAATCAATCAAAAGTAATAAGTTCACGAAACTGCTCACCGGGGCAACCGGGCACAACGAGACAAACACCAAACTCGGGCAACCGCACAGCTGAGACAAGAAGGTTATATCTGACGGACAATACACTTAGTGCTATTTTGCAATGAATATGACGTTTTTGCCCACCCACGCATGCATTCTTGAACTCGCACTTAAACACATGCACATGAGCACTTGTGCCATGCGGCGATAAGCAGCGCCGAGGAGGAGAGGCTGATAGCGCTGAGCTAAAGTCCTGCGTTGA